AAGGTGAAAACTGTTGATATTCTGATTTACATTTTTACTAAATATGCCACGCGGAAAATATTTGTCTGAGGATCTTCGAGAAAAAATAAATAATCAACGCACATCGGAATGGTGTACGGCAAATGGACATAAGCAGAATGTTTAATTTGCAATAAGTCTGTCATTAGCAAAACGATTTCCAATTTCAAAACTCAAAATTCCTTAAAGACTATTAAAAAAAAAGTGGTCGGCCAAGGAAAACAACGAAAAAAATGAAATGACAATTAAAAAAATCGCCTTAACTAATCCGCATAAATCGGCAAATCAAATTTTGAGTGAACTACCTGGTGTCAATATGCAAAAAATAATGACTGAGAAAAGTTCCTGTTTTCAGATGAAAGCAAATTTAATATATTTGGATCCGGTGCAATATCGTGTATACATCGCCCAGAAGGGAAAAGATTTGATCCAAAGTATACCAAGCCCACTGTAAGGCATGGTGGTGGATCTTGCATGGTATTGGGATGCGTCTCGGGGTGGGACATTGAGAGATAAGAGAGATTTGATAAGAATTTTGAAAGAGGCCTGGAATTCCATTGAACCAGATACCATAAGAAAACTATTGGACTCCATGCCAAAGCGATGTCGTGAAGTTATAGCTAATCACGGTTATACCCATTATTAATTTTATTAGGTTAGCAACAACTATGTACTTGTAATTTTTATATTAATTTTTAGTTTCTTTATTTTTATCATACTTTTTTATTTAACTGAATAAAATCTTAAGTTTTCGTGAGACATATCATGACATTTCATTTAAATAAGAACTATTTAAGTATCTTTAATTGTAACAATGCATAAAATGGCCTCCGTTCCTGCTTTAACAAAAAAGACACAATTTTGAAAAATTTCTCTACTTTTGTCCGATTGTACATTTAGTTATGTTTTGACTTTGAAGCTATAATATTATTAAAAAAATTTTCAAAACATTTAAATAAGTGACTGACCGTTTGAAATGACACTCTCTGTTAGATGTTAATTCAATAGGACCGAAACAAAAAGAATCGTGTTTCTACGAAGCTCAAGGTTAAAGAAAGGACATCTTTTAATTATTTACTACCAGGAATGAGATCTGTTCCTGATGCGGAACGCTGGTTCGAGCGACACAATAGCTGGCAGCTTTTAATAATTCATGAGTTTTACGTAACATTTCAATGGTTGAAATACGTTTCTTTTTGTTATTAACAGGCTTGTTTGTCTCAGATTAATTCACATATTTCAAGTTTTATAGCTAATTAAATTAATCACGTCGCGTCGCGTAAAAGATGTTTTAAAGTAAACAAAATTGAATATTGTGATAACTGAACTACTAGATCCTTTTCCTCAGTTTTTGGTAACATTTTTAAAGGAAGAGTCAAAATTTCCGTATATTTATTACCAGGTCAGGATAAATAACAGTTAGGGAATCATTTTTAATCCTGCAAATATTCAAAGTGGCTAGCGTATCTGCATGGAAATGTCACCACGCACTCATGGAGGCTTCTTCTGGTGATAACATTACGATGAGCTAGGTCAAAGAATATTCGCAATGTAATCGCAATCAAAAAACCATGCCAGTGACGTATTGGCTAAAAGGAAAACTGGTATAAATATTTTTAGACCGGCCATCTCCAGCTTATTTTCAGATAAAATCAAATGCATCACCGTATCGTCCTGCCGAACTCCACAGTTTCCTAAAATATCTCCAGGAGCTACCAATGCGATTCTGTAAAAAAGTACAAGTAAATGAATGATCTACTATTATTTAGTTTCATATAGGCAAAAATAAAAGAAAATATACTTAAATTAGCAGTAATACAATAAAATGCATGTTTAAACTCTAGGGCCCATGTTGTACTAACCATATCAGCTGGTATGGTTAGTAAAACTAATTTCCTATTATAAAGCTTCATTCAGAACCTTCCAATTAGGGGAATAAATTAGTGGTTTTAATTACACTTTATACTTTTTAATTTACGATCATTCACAATGTCTAAAAAACACAATTAAAATTAATAAAATATCCTAGCAACAGCTTGCGGTAGTCTGTTGTATCCATAGAGAAGGCATAATATTAAGCTTATAAAAGTATAAACTTTTGAATTCTAACCAAAATTTTTCTTGACGGGTGATAATCAAAGGCCAAAATGACATTCCTCGCAAATTTGGAAGTATAATTAGTGGAAAAGTCAAGAGTTTGTTAACTTTTTCCAATAATTGAAAATTTCTACCCTAATTATGACGCTCTGAATGCTTACATTAAAATTAGGTGAACAAACTTCTACGGTTAATTGAAACTAGTAATTTATTCTACTGATTTCGAGGTTCTGAATGAAGGTTAAAGCTTCATTCAGAACCGAATTAGAAAAATAAACAGTGAAGAAAATTAGACAAAACCCTTTTAGGTTCCTCTAATCATTAACTAGTAACATTTGCAGTGTGATACAGTTCTGTTCAGGGCTAGTGGCCAACAGAACCATATCATCTCCATATTTTAAGCTGTTTATTACCCCTCCATTCACAATAATTTCCTCCCGCAACCTATCCAATGCACTTCTGAAAATACCTACTCTATGAGTAAACATTGAACATGTTAGGGGATAGGAATTCTGTCTAACTATACAGGGTGTTTCCTACGATGTTCTCTATGGGTATCTCTGGGATGTTCTATATGGGAAACTACTGGAGATAAAGAGTCGGTTAAATGGCGAAAGAATTGCAGTTTTGTGGGGTCATAAATATGCGCCTTTCAGATTTTTGAAAAAGTTCTTGTCTATTTCGAAAAAAACAAATTTCGGCTATTTTAAAAATTGTCCCTAATTCCATTATAAGCTATTTTAGACAAAAAGTTTTCAGATAAAAGTTGTAGATAATCACACCTTTAATGAGATTGTGTCATCCGTTTTATTTTAAAGCCAGTCATTTTTGACATATGACACAAACATTTGTTTTTTTAAATGGAAACCATAGTTCGCCATGACTTTATAAAAAGCGCCATTTTTTAAGCTTTTCAGCGATATAAGCTATATTATCTTTTCTTCGAAAAATTATCGAGTTATAGCAAATTCTTATCATTTTTAAATAATTTCACTTAGTTAGCCATGGAAACAAGTTTAATCGTCTTTGCTCTCATAAATGTGAAGCTGCCACATCCAAACTTTGTAAATTAAAATAAACCAAAATTGTAAATATGAATTTTCCAAATGATGAAAAGCGTGTAAGATTATTGGTTCAACTTTTCTTGACCATACATTTTGACCAAAGTTAAATTTAATTATAGCCAATTCTTATCTTTCTTGTCTAATTTTACTTAGATTGCATGGCATTCTTATTCTGTTATGATCTATAACTTATAAAAAGTCAGAATATATTAGTAAACGGTTCTTTAGAATTTACATTACACAAACTATAACTTATATAAAAAATAATATCACTGCAGTCACTGCATACACTTTAAGTTATTTTAGAAAATGTTCAAAAAATCCGCCATTGTTTTGAGAGTTACATCTTTTTAAAACTGAATTATTACCTATTCTCACAGAAGGATCGGTCGACTTAATTAAACTTCTCTCCTACCGCCACTTCGAGTGCCTCTCTTAATTCATAAGTTCTTTTATAAACCTTATTGTTAACCATACCGCATAAAAAATCTAAAATGGATAGGTCAGGTGATCGAGGAGGCCCAGGCAATTAGTCCACCTCTTCCTATCCCTGAGTTTATATTATTATGATATAAATAATTTTTAACATTTCTTTTTCATTATGGGGGGGGGGTCATAATAATGTCATAATGAAAGTCATGTTGGAAACACTCTATTGATGCGCGAGTATTTACACACTTTTCTTTTCTTCATTTGGAAAATTCATATTTACAATTTTGGTTTATTTTAATTTACAAAGTTTGGATGTGGCAGCTTCACATTTATGAGAGCAAAGACGATTAAACTTGTTTCCATGGCTGACTAAGTGAAATTATTTAAAAATGATAAGAATTTGCTATAACTCGATAATTTTTCGAAGAAAAGATATTATAGCTTATATCGCTGAAAAGCTTAAAAAATGGCGCTTTTTATAGTCATGGCCAACTATGGTTTCCATTTAAAAAAAACATATGTTTGTGCCATATGTCAAAAATGACAGGCTTTAAAATAAAACGGAGGACACACTCTCATTAAAGATGTGATTATCTACAACTTTTATCTGAAAACTTTTTGTCTAAAATAGCTTATAATGGAATTAGGGACAATTTTTAAAATAGCCGAAATTTGTTTTTTTCGAAATATCTGGTAAGCCATGAACTTTTTCAAAAATCTGAAAGGCGCATATTTATGACCCCACAAAACTGCAATTCTTTCCCCATTTAACCGACTCTCTATTTCAAGTAGTTTCTGAGATACCCATAGAGAACATCGCAGGAAACTCATCCTGTATACTTGTAATCGTATAACATTTGTAATACGGTTAATGTAACCTCATACCGGGTCCAGACCAAGGCGACAAAAAATAAAAACGATTTTGAAAACAAGACAAACTTGCAACAAAAAATGGATAATTCTGACAAGAGAAACTTGAGACAAATTGTCCACACCGCAAGGACAAAAGCACAACAAAGTCGAAAGTTTAGTTGTTGCGAATGAGTTTTATTAACCATGTGTGATTTCACTGGTCTCCTACTGTTGGCAGCACACGCCATCCACACTGCGCCGACAACTTGTCGTAAAATATACGAACAAAACATAGACACTTTAATCTTTACTGACTCGAGACGGAACATTGAAAAGTCTCAGAATTTTGAAACAAAACAAAAATGAGATATAATTGTCGCAATTTTGTCGTAAAACATGAATGTTTCTGTCTTGTTGTTTTGGACCCGGCATTACAGACAGGTAGCAGGTGGTGAAAATTGTTTTTCGCCATCAATGACTGTTGTTCTTTCCAAGATAGTTAACTCTGCCGCTCAGACTCAAAGCTGTGTGCCCGCGTCTGTATCGTCCTGCTGCACGCTGGCCTGCCGCCTGCTGCCATCACTCAGCCAGTTCGTCGACGTTCGCGTCTCGAATCGCAGGAAGCTCGACCAGCAGCTTCTTGCCGCGGAAGCGTGATCTTTTTCGGCGCAGGAATACCGGTAGCATCCATCGGCAGACATTAAACGGTGTTGTTTTGTTCAGTACAAGAAGATAGTGATTTTAGCAGGAGCAGGATCGTAGAAGTGTTGTTGAATGTTGAAAGTAGACGGTTTTCTGGTAGATACCATTCTTTACTGTTCAGTTAATACACATTTTTATTTTAGTTAATATAAACAGAAGAATAGACATTTCTTCTAGCCTCAAAATTTTTACTCTAAATTATTAGTAAAGTAAAAAAATCAAATAATATGTTTATCTACGTTTTTTAATAAAATGAATTCTGATTCCAATGACGTCCTTTTTGATACGATATCTTTTACTCCTTTTAAGAGTAGTAAAATGTTATTTTTCCCTTAGAAGGGTCGTTAGAGGGATGAACTAGAAAACATACTGTTTAAAACTTTAAAATATAAATTTTAATATTCACTTAGCATAAAGGGTTGTTGATGGTTGAAATTATCATTTTGTAATCGTTGTTGAAAGTGTTTTAAGTATCGTAAGGTACTGTTTGGTTTATTAGGAATAATTGAAAATGAATTTTCAAATTTTCAAATAAACAACAGAGACACAAATATTGCAAAATGTATAAGAATGTTATAGAAATCCCTTAAATTGGCAATAATACATTATTTAAATACATATTTAAACTACAGTGTGTCCCCAGATTGTATTTACAAGAGAAAAACCTTTTTTATTATTGACCTTTGAGAGAAACTGATGATTTTCTAGGAAAAATTCAACAATATTTTATGTTTCTTTCTAATTTTCTCTAAAACGGTGCGGAAATTTGTAAAAGTACCTATGGGTACTTTTACAAACTAACCGTTTATGAACGGGATTAATCAATTAACAAGCAAAGATTTTTATAAAGTATGCATATTTCTCAACATGCCAATAATAAAAAAAGTTTTTTCTCTTGTAAAGACAATCGAGGAACTGTATAGCACGCATGTTCTAACACTAACCAACTAATTTTCTATTACAACACCAAAGATTTACTCTAGATTTTCACATATATTTTTATGGACAGCGTTTCTACCAGGCTTTTCTTAAGCTACAATATTTTCTAAAGCATGTACAGACATACATATACACAAAAGTTTGGGCGCTATGAAAATACTAAACAGGCTGTGTGTGCTGCCTTCTTAGCCATTTTTTAAAATATGTTTATGTATTTTTCATCTTGAAACCAATCTCTATACCAACTCTGTCTATGAACAGTGAAGAAAATAAAAAAAATCTTTGAATCCCCCGTTGCAAGTTTTTGATTTTTGCTCGGTATTTTAATCATTCTTTTTTATTATCAGTAGACATTGAAGCGTGTTCGGTATTTGTTTTGTCAATCCGAAGTAGACGATAGTGAGTCTTGTATGATAAATGATAACATTAAAATATTTTCTTTTTTAGGACGTAATTATAAGCTCAATTATTTATGCATATTTGATGAACATTCCTCCACTAATTATTGTCGTATTCAATATATACAAGGTTGTCGTATCTTAATTTCGAAAAAGAAAATGTGTTTTTGAAGTTCGTATAAATTTATTTTCTTGTTTTTGTTTTTATACAGTTTCTGATAAAAATTATCATTTACAAATTTAAAGGAAAAATTTAGGAGAAATAATTAAACTAACAATAAACTGATTTAATCAAAAAATATTATAAAATAATGTTTTAGTGTTTAGTTTTAACGGAAAAGACATCATTAATGAAGGATTTTTTAACAAACTTATAATTTATTAAAAATAACTGTAAAGATACTCCACAGTTTAACATATATTGCCTAGAGGTTGTCTTGGTTAGTTGTTAGTTGTTAGCATCTTGGTTAGTTGTTAGCATCATGAACATGTTAAAGATATTATTGTCATTAACATAATATATCTACTTATTGAACTAGGGAAATTGTTCTGTATCATAACAGTAATTTAATAAGTACAGGGTGGCCCATCGAAAACGTTCCGCAAGGCATAACGGCCAGGGTAATTTTTTTTTCAGAAAATTCAAAAACACGTCAATTTTGTTTGTGAGGGGGACAACTTTTGCCCCCAAAATTATTGCAAAATCTTCAACTCTCTAAGCGGGGGTGTCATCCCCGGATTTTTTTCTAATGGGTAGGGGGGTCAAGGGGTACCGCAATAAAAAGGGCTTTCTATTCTCTATACTTTCCTGCTTCGTTTTTGAAGATCGGTCGAGTCGTTGGGAAAATATGAAGGATTGAAATTTGAAAAGTGTTTTAAACATTTATCAGAGTAAATGATAAGGATAAATTCCTTCGAGCAATTTGCTGTTTTTTCTTATTATTTCTAGATGTTTGCAATCGGGTTGCGCAGATATTCAATGAACGCCATCCAGACAAACACCTTTATGGCAAAATTCTTCGCCAGTTAGTAGCAAAATTTCGCGAAACTGGTTCCGTTATGAATAAAAAGAGGCAGAGGGAAAATCCTGTAGTAAATGAAGCTATGGAGGTATTCGTATTGGGCCAAGTTGCCATGGACAGTATTCTGAGTGCAAGAAAATTAGCCGGCGGAAATCGTACAAGTTTCCAAAGGATATTAAAAAAACACAAGTTCCACTCGTATAAAATTCAGTTGGTACAAGAACTCAACGAAGACGATTTTGATCGTTGCTTGCAAAATTGCTTGATTTTCAAAAACGAAGTGGGGAAATATAGAGGATTGAAAGCTCTTTTCATTGCGGCACCACATGACCCCCCTTTCCATTTGAATAAAGTTGGGGGATGACACCCCCACTTAGAGGATTGAATGTTTTGCAATCGTTTTTGGGGCAAAAGTTACCCCCCTCACAAACAAAATTGACGTGTTTTTGAATTTTTTTGAATCTGTATACAAATTAGGTGTAATAGCAGATCAAAATACTATTAATAGTAATTATTAATATTATATATTAATACTAAAATATCTGCATCATAAATATCTGCTTTACTCTTTTATTATTTGCAAAGTTCATTATATTTATCACCTTTTATAAGTATCAATAACAATTATCAGTAAGTAGTTAACTCTAATATCAAGAATAAACCTACTACACATCAGTTTAAACATTGCAATTAATATTGATTTTATTAGTTAATATTAAATGCAGTTCAAATGCCCAATGAGTAATTACATCAATGTAGATCTTATCATACGTTATATACTTTGATCTTACAATCGCCTGATTAATTGGTATCGCAGTGTAAACATTTAATTTACTTGAAAAAAATCTAATTAAATACATTTTACAACAATTATCAACTCAAGTTTTAATTATTTTTCTTTTTTATAAAGTAATTCTACAATGGTTTCTATAAACATCGAACCGGGATACCATAAACATTTTATTGATAACTTAGCAATAAAATCCGTACAGCTGTTCAAACATTTATTTCTCTCAAAAACCGCAAAATTAATAAACACAGCAGCTTTTATGTTCAAGCTATAATATTTCTTTTCTTTTAACTATTGTCTGTATTAGTAGGGGAACTGAAGCAGAATAACATAGAAGGAGAAACCTTGCACCCTTTAGTACCTCCACCCTTTAGTACCTCCACATTACCCCCAGCCAATCAGAAAAGTGACATAGTTGCAAAAAAACCGTCTCCTGGACATTCTCGAGTATGGTTACTTTTTTATTTTGAAGGACAACACTCAAGTATTACGAAAAAAAAAACATAGTTTGCTTATTTCCACAAGCCGAAGTAAAGTAAGCTAAAATCATCACTATACTGTGTTGCTGACAACTATGTATTCGCCATGAGTTTTGGTCGCGTCCAAATATAGACAAAATATAGACGTCTTTTAACTAGATATTTATGCTGAACACATATACCTGAGATACGAGGCCTTAGGCCTTAAGCTGAATATCATAACATAACATAACATAACAATGCTATAAAAATTGGAGAAGAACGATTGGAATATGTAGCGGAATTCAATTACCTCGGTAGTTTGATTTCGGAGGTCAATATCGACTTTGAAATTTGACATAGAATTAGCAGCACCTCAAGAGTGTTCTGGAAATTAAACGACAGGGTTTTCTACAATCATGACTTGAGCACAAAGACAAAACTTGCAATGTACCGAGCATTAATAATCCCCTCCATGTTATACGGAAGCCAAACCTGGGTGCCGTACCGCCGACACATGAACGCATTAAACAAGTTGCAGCTGAGAAACCTTAAACAACTGTTAAGAATCAAATGGTACCACCATCTCTCAAACATATCAGCCCATGAAAAGGATAGCTGCGAGAGTGCTGAAGTCATGATTACTAAACAAGCTTAAGATGGACTGGTCACGTATGCAGGATGCAAGAAAACCGCCTACCGAAATATCTTCTTTAAGGTGAGCTTGTAGATGGTAAAAGGAACCCGGATGGACAACTCAAAAGGTACAAGGATATTTTCCATGAAAACTTAAAAGAGTTAAACATGCAGAATCAGTGGGAGAAAGCAGAGCACAATGGAACGCAATGGTAAAGAATTGTACACTCAATTAACAACGAAAACCAAAAAGTAAAATGCAACAAAGTATTGATATTTTTGAAAGTCCGGAGTGCGGAAGAAAGATAACATTACGTATCGGGCTTTTCAGTCACAGAAAAGTTTATGAAAGAAAACGCAGTACGTAATAATCTTCTGATGCGTGTCAAATACTCGTCAGCGAGTAACAGCAATGAATGAGTCTTTTGAATAGAAGCTTCTTGACTTAACATCGCTTTTGAATATCTGGCGCCTTGAAATATTTTTTCTATTTTCATTATCTAGCCCTTCTTACAAATATATATTTGTGACCGATGTTTTTTTTAGCAAAGGAGTATAATAATAATAATAGCTCCCGTATATAGCGTTTAACGCCTTGGGAGTAGCAAGGTACAGCTTGCTATACTAGAGCCGTTCGGTATACAAGGAAGGTAATGTGGCTAGCACTACGCTTCAACCGCCTATTATTACCTCAGGATTGTGGATCCCAAGTACTCATTTAAGGCTGAGTCGACCTAGGTACCCAAACTATTTTTATTTTAATAAAAATAGTCGGCTGATCAAATGCCGGGTGTGGGAATCGAACCCACACCTTGAGATTGGTAGACGAGAGCCTGTACCTCTACGCCACCGG